GCGGAGCGGCTGGGCCCGTGAGCCATGGGCGCTGAGCTTGCGCGTCCGGCAACGGGAAAGGCCACGACAGTGAGAGGCCCACATATCGCAAAAAAAAAAAAAAAAAGAGCCTAGACCATGAGGGGCGGGAAGGAGTGCAGAGGAAACCGAAGCCCAAGAAGCTATTACTTGAACCGCAGCTCCTTCCAACATACTCAGACAGCATGGGAGTGCACGCCGTGCATCCCCTTTCACACACCCTCCTGTCTCCCGGCTTGCAGTGTTCCCTGCTCCGTCCATTCCCTAAGCTGTACATGTGTCTTTGCCAACACGAGGGACCCTTAAACACATGTGAATGCTCAGCCTCACTCACTGTCAGAGAAATGCCGGTTAGAACTCCAAAGACACCTTTTTAAAAATCTCTCCAACCATCAAAATGATAAGTAGCATGCCATGACAGGAGGGTGGGGGAAATAAGCCTTCTCACACATGGTTTGGGAGTAGGAATTTAGAAATACAGCCAGCAAGTGGTAAGAGCTTGGGATCAGCAGTCAGACTGAAAACGTCTGCCACTTGGAAGCTAAATTTCTTCCTGCCTCAGTTTGTTCATCTGTAAAATGGGAGTGATGCTAACAGAACTTACTTCATGGGATTACTGTAAGGATTACTGAGATAATACACATAAAGCACTTAGAACAGTGCCTGGTATTTAAATGATAAAGTGTTAGCTATCTTTAACCACGATGGGGAGAGAAGGCCAACTAGATAAAATTATATAAATGCATCTACTTCTGACAAAGCAATATCACTTCTAAGAGTGTATCATATAGAAATCATAGCACAAGTACCTAAAGATAAAAGTACAAAGAAAAAAAAAAAGTAGAGACTCACTGCAACTTTGAAATAAAAGTCTAAGTACAGCCTAAATATATAGCAATAGGAAACAAGTTAAATAAATTGCATCATGGTCTTAAAATGGAATAGTACGTAGCCATTAAAAATGAGGCAGCTAGGTATATACAAATATGAGACAATCTCAAGATACATTATGACATTTTTTCAAAAAAATAAGAAGAATGGGGATGCAACGTACAATATGGTGACTATAGTTAATAACACAGTATTGCATATATGAAAGTTGCTAAGAAAGTAGCTCTTAAAGGTTCTCACCACAAGAAAAGAATTCTGTAACTATGTGATGATGGATGTTAGCCAGACTAATTGTGGTGATCATTTTACCACATATACAAATATCAAATCATTATTTTGTACGCTCAAAACTAATATAATCTTACATGTCAATTATACCTCAATTTGTTTAAATGTGTAAATTTTGCGAGATGCATTACAGAGATTTACTTCCTTAATAAAACCATTTTGGATTTTTTTTTTCCTTAAAAAAAGGATACAGAATGGTGGACAAATATATACTATCATTTGTGCTTTTTAGAAAAATAAATATGGATGCATATATGTGGTGTGTGTGTATACTTTTGTGTGCAAAAAAAATTCTCTGAAAGGCTACACTTGAAACTAGTAATAATTGTTCCTTTCAAAGAGAGGGTATGGATAGTTGGAGGATGCTTATACTACCCATTGCAAAAATAAATAAATAAAATGGTTTTTAATAGTTAAAAAATGCAATCTGATATGTCATTCCTCTGCTTAAATGTCTTCCATTTGTTCTTAGCACTAAAACCCTAGCTCCTTTAACAGCGCCTACAGCGGCCTGGGCTAATTCTGCAGCCTTAGTTCTCACCAGGCCCCTCCTCAACCTCACATTTTATGCTCGTGAGCTTTATTCACACCTCCTGTTCCCGTTTACTAGTAGATCCATGCCTGAGCTGTTTAACCTTTATTTCATATTCACTTTCATTCTCTTTGCCTGACTAATTCTGACTGGCCCTTCTGGTTCCGGCATAGCTGTGACTTTCCCTAGAAATGCATCGCAGCATCACTGGACCAGGTGGGACGCCCCCATCCTGCTCCCATCGCACCCTTTACATCCCTCATGGTAGCAGAGGCAAGGGACATGTCCTGAATTCTCTTTCAGAATGCCTTTGACAGCAAGAAGATTAAGAAACATCTGTGCCAGACCCTCTTGGTGCCTTCACAGGAGCCCTCTTCCCTCTCCACTGACAACAGGAGCCCAGTTCTGAGCCCAATGCTAAATGGGCTACAGAGTGTCCTGCCCCAGGGGATAAGTCAAGGTTGATGCGAGCCAATCATGATAAAGCAGCTTATCTTGACTAGATATTTGCTCTTCCAGCCTCCTTTGCAGCTCAGGGTGAGCCTGTAACTCAGGTCTAGGAAAGATTTTTCTCTCCTTGATAAAAGGAGAGTGGTCCATGAAGCCCTTCTGCCTCTGTCCCCCGAGCTTCCTGCTTTGGATGCTGTCATATGAGGTGTGATGTTTAGGGCTGTGGCAAATACCTTGAGACCCACGGGGAAGAGATGTCTGATGTCACTGAACAACTAATCCAACCCTAACATTGCTACTGTCAGACTTTCCAAGAAAATAGTCTGTACTAATGAACTAAACTCATCCTTTCTGTCTATTGTGTAAACCACTGTCAGTCACATATTCTGTTAACTGCAGCCAAAAGCACTCCTAATTGCACAACATGACGGGATAGACAGAATCCCACAATCAGTCCATAGAATCAAGCAAAGGGTGCTTGACTGAGGCCAGGAGCAATGCCCTAGGACATTACAAGTCAAGGTGCCCCCTTCGGGCCTATCCTGGTCTGGACTCTTTTCCCCGGGTCAGAACCAGTTCAGCATTTAGCAACAGAGCTGAGGTTAAAGTCACCAAAATAAGCAGCCCCTGACATTTACTGTATTAGACTTCTGTAACCTTCACTCTGCTAGAGAAGACTTACGTATGAAGACGTTTTCAATCTTAGGACATACAACCCTCAAAGTGATCCCTCTCCAGGACAGCATGAAAGGAAGGAAGCAGTTAGCTCATTGGATCTGGTCATCAGAAGTCACTGGATACTACAAATGACCCTACCTTAGGAGTCCATCCCCCCAAAGTTTCTAATACTCTACTTTATGAAACCTTCAACATCTGTGAGCTCAGCTTTTGAAGAAAGGAGGCCACTGAGGCAGTGAAGGTGGGTCATACTTACAGGGGTCTGAAAGCAGCAAAACAACTGAGTGAGGAAGGGGTGATTGCGGGCCAAAGACAGGATCCTCTTCTCTGTCATGGTGCACTCCACATCATCATCTTGCAGGATCACGTCCTTCTTTAGCACCTTCACGGCATAGAGGTCTCCTGTTTCTTTTATTCTTGCAAGCATCACCTATGGCAAAGCAGGAGGAGGGAGCGTGAGAACTCATGCAGCTCTTAGGGTGTGGCCTCATCTGGGGCACAAGGCAGATGGCACGTGGGAAATGGGCATGTGTATACATACATGCACAGGCAAACAACATACATGGAGCAGGCATCCTTTAACCACCCAAACACTTGGCGCCAAGACTCACCTTCCCAAAGCTGCCCTTCCCCAGTACTCGGATGAACTCAAAGTTGTTGATCCCAAGTCGGTTGGAAGAATTAAGCCCAATGCCATTTCCTTCTTTGATGCTCTCCTTTCCTTGTCGTCTTAGGGTTGATCTGGAAACGAGATTCTGCAAAGGAGAGTAGGAATACATCGAGTCAGAAATCACAGTGGAGCATGAAGCATTTATGGATGAAAAAGACCTTACCTGCAGCTTCAACCCTCAATACAACACATGGGGAAAGATCAATACAGCTTGACATGTGATCAGGTTCTGCCACTCAGAACTGCTTCGGCACCAACTCCTGATCTGTGCTTACTGAATTTGGGTCAGAATCATTTAAAATATATCTAAGCCACCGAGTTTCAGTTTGTGCTCAAATGGGAGTATACAGAAAATGTCTCAGTCTGGTCCACCTGGTTTCTTGTGGTGGCTTTCTACAGGGTGGTCAAAGTTCCAAGGGCGCCACCTGGTGTCCATGTCCTGCAAACAGCAGCTTTCACAACTGCTCAGAGAATTGAGCACCACTCCACACCAAGAATGAATGAAGCAACACTTCCATATGCAATATTTTAAATTATAAAAGAGAAACAAAAGTTAATGTAAATATATGAAGGGTAACACTGACAATACCTATAATATCATCAGCCCCCCTCAAAAAACAAGAAACAGAAACATACATATACACACGTCTATCTTTACACTTAATTTTAAAAAATACAATAAAATTGTTGTTTCATAACACAATTTAACATTTTTCCATGCATATTATCCATATCTCTAAATTTCCTTCAAGAACATGAGTTTCAAAAAGCTGTCCAAAATTCCATTTTATGGATATATCACAATTGATTCACTAATTCCTGGCATTGGAAATATAGATTATCTCCCAGTTTTCACTAGTATAGATAACACACAGTGACCATACTTGCATGCAGATCTTCAAATCAGGGTGATTAGGAGTCTAGGCTCTCAAGCAGGTGGCCTGGGTTCAAATCGCAGCTCTACAACCTAACCCTGTGACCGTGGACAAGTCACCTACCTCTCTGAGCCTCAGTTTCCTCTTCTAACAAAGGGGATGTTATAGTACCTGCAACATGGGTTGTTATGAGGAGTAAATGAATAACTGCACTTAAAGCACTTAGACCAGTGCCTGGCACATTCCATAAACCTAAGCCGTATTGTCATCTTTATCAACATGATCATCCTCATCAACATCGTCTATTTTCTTAAGATAACTTTCTGGAAAGGGAATTCTTTGGGCCAATGTGTTAATTCTGAAGACTTCTGATACATGGTCAACTTGCCCTCCAGAAAGGTTAACCACCAACACAATGAGAGCTCCCGGTTCACCACACAGAACCAGAAGTAGGTGTGGCCTCTCTGGGGAGTTCTCTAGCCCCATCCCACTAGTACAAGACTCATCCAAGGGAGGGTGCTACCTAAAGACAAGGTGACGTGCAGGTGTCTACCTTGGGATATTTATAAGACAGGCTACCACCAGATAAGAGACCAAAAGTCTGACATCCTGGAGCATTTGACCTCTTTAGCTAAAAAAAAAAGCTTATCTGGGGTAACTTCTAAGCAATGTTTGTAATAAACAGCTGGGCAATACCCTGAAACTGCAAGGATTTTTCTTACTCAACCCAGAGAAACAGTGATTGAAGATATAAAATGGATCACCTTTAAAATCCAATTATTTTAATAGTTTCTCCTCTAGATTTCTGATCATAAATTTTTCAAAGATGGAAAAATTTTACCAGCTTGAATCTCACCTCCTCCACTTAAATACTTCCCCTGCCAGAAAACTCTAAATCCAGTGTCTCAATCTTTTGTTTGTTTGTTTGTTTAACCCATTCTTCTCTTTTGATAGACTAAAGATGTCTCTCTTTAATGCTGTACTGTCAGCCAACAGGTAATTTGGGTTTTCTCACTATTAAGTATCAGAACATGAAAGATACTTGGTTCAAGTGACAAGCGGCGCTGCCCATTCCTAGAGATTGTGCCACATGGCTCAGCTTATTTCCACAGTATTTCAGAAGCCCTGGGCCAGGCCGAAATCCCTAACCTACACCCTTCAGGCACAGCTGTCCCATGCTCTGGAAATCCCCCTCACGGTATAGCATCCTGCCTGTCTGTCCACAAGAAAGACACACAGACTTGAAGGACTTTGCCAACGCCTTCCTGAAATCAAGAAATGCAATGTCAATCCAAGCCCCTGCTTTACCAGGCAGGGCCCTTCAGTGAAAAGGAAATGGGGTGGTTAGTGATGACACTGTTTGGATAACCAAGAACCTGACAGTGATTGCACTTCCCTTCCTAAGTGCCCAGAGATATCTGACAGTTAAGTCTAGAATTTTCCTGAACCCGGTATCAAGCTACACATTTCAGAAGCCTCAGCCATAACCATGGCTCTTTCCCAGTTCTCAGCAGATCACAGCCAGGAAGGCAGCAATAGGATGGGGGCCTGGGATGTGGCTGAAGCTCTAATGGACAACAGCAGGTGGGGGAGGGTCACTCAGGGCGGTGGCAGGACACAGCGACTGACATGCTCCACCCACTCCCGCGGAGAGGAAGGAACTCCTGTCTGTGGCTGGACTTGAGATAAATTCACGATCCATAAACAAATACTACACAACTGCTGGATTCCAGGCCTGTGGAGAACATCAGCTCTTTAAGTTCAACCCCTTCAGAGAGAAGGAAGCAAAGGCCCATAGTTACTGGTCAACTGCACTGCCGGGGGCTCCGACAAGAGCAGAACCGAGGACCCTGGATTCCAGGCTTTTCACCAGACCACAATGACAGGAAGCTGTTTTAAAAAATATATATCCCTTTTCTGCTTCTTGCTATATCTGCACGCTCATTAGTTCTTGTTATATAATTGTATATAGAACCTTATTTGTGGAACAAAATGCTCTTTAAAAATGCAATAAATCTGTTTATTGTATTTGCTGTGACTAGGAACTTTGATTATGCCACACACAATACTAGGGCTCGCCACATCTGAACAACTTCTAAATTACAAAATATGAAAATAGCAAAGTCTCACCGAGGTGGGAGAAATACTTCCGGGTTGGAGGCCCATTCCTGCCAAAGTCTTGGCCAGCTCCGCCGCATTCACTCCGCAGTTTGGGGCCACGTTGGCCTGACATCGAATGTGTACATTCATTTTACATACTGGATGGAAGAGGAAAAGGGAATCCACGTTCAGAAAGGAGCCACGTCAACATGGGCTGTGAAAGAGAGCTGTGATAACCTGAAAGACCGTGACTGAGGAATTGCACAGGCTGAATAATGATATCTTCTCATCAAATTCAACTGACACTCACAACGATCCCTGAGTGTAAGTAAATCCCTGATTTTCTCTATTTCTGTTTTGTGCAGAAGCAGTAAGCCTGGCATACGGAAGAATAATACATTTCAAATTTCTTTTTGTTTGCCCTGTGACTTGATGCAAGACATTCACTTAAATCATATTTTAAAAGACATCACTGATTTCCCAGCATGATTCAATACAGAGATCAAAACATTCATCACGGCAACAGCTCACTCGATTAAATAACAAGGAAATGTGCCAACCGACTTTATGCCATTCCTTGTAACTCTCAATAAAAGGTAGCAATCTAACAGCCACGTGTAGATGGCTGTTCAGACAGGATGGAACTGGTGTTTCTGAGAGAAAAGCCTCTAAGTAAAGCTTTCTTTCTGAGCACTGTCTTTGGGTGGCCCTCACAGCACAGAATGCGGCATCCTGTGCAGCAGCTGTATTTCTCAGTGCTTGCAGCCTGTGGCTTCATGGGTGACAAAAAGCAACTTTTTTAAAGGTCAAGGCAAGTGGCAGTTGGAAGAGGAGAGCGAAGCAAGCTAAGCTCCTGGTGCACAGGAAGCTGACTTGGGGTGATTAAAGACCCGAGGTTTAATCAGCACAGAGTTCTGACATGGCTTCTTGACACGGGCCCTGCTGGTCGGAGGCAGGGATAGAGCAGCGTAAGATGCGTTGAGGTGTGTCAGCCCATCTTTGGAAGCATACACAGAGCCAGGTTTCGTGGTGCCTGAAGTTATGCAATTTTAGGGTTGCCCTCTTTAAGAAAAAGAGCACTTCATCAAGTAGAGAACTTGGAAGGTACCTTGCAAGGGAGGAGCTCCAAGGCTTAAGCTTCATTAGATTCATAGGAAATCCACCTCTCTCAGCAAGTCTGGTACGGAGACATACAAGCCTGCGGTGGCCTTTCTAAAGCTCCACGTGACAATAAAAGCAAAAATGATAGGAGCTGGAACACTGCAGGCGTGCTACCCTCAGCACCACGAGGGACAAGTGCAATGCAGATGAATCCCACCCATGGCTCTGCCTGTCAGCAACAACCATACGAAAGCAGAAAGTGACTTTCACACTAGAAACCCACACCTGGGTGACACCATCCAGCTAATGATCAAGCAGTGCCTGAAACAAAGCTACATGTGAGTTGGCTGCTGTTTTGGTTGAAAAAGAATTATTTCAGGTATCTATGAAAAAAGAATAATTAAGTGGTGCTCTGAAGAAATAAAAGAATTTGCCTTTCTTAAAGACAAGTGACTAGCCCCGTTTTGTTAATAGAAGCAGGTCTGGTTAAGTCCAGGCAGCCAGTGAAAGCTGTCCAGTTGTACTGACATGAACTCTGCCTCCCCTGGTGACTCAGAATGTGTCTCAGGCTTCAGGCTGAAACTCACATGTATTTCAGCAGAGGACAGTGCACCCCATGACAGCCAGATTGTTACAGCAACACTCAATGAGAGATGACTCCAGGCCAACAGCCCCTCAACTGCTAACAGGACAGGGACCAGCCCCCATATCCTTATCCTCTGCTGAGGCAAAAGCTCCAAACTCAGGCTCCACTGGACACTGTTGTTGAAGTGCATGCCCTCGCACGGCCACCTACTCTCTGATCTCTATCAAGCTCTTTGAGAAGACACAGGGCGGACTGAGTTATGCTTTTTTTTTTTTTTTTTTGCGGTATGCGGGCCTCTCACTGTTGTGGCCTCTCCCATTGCGGAGCACAGGCTCCAGACAACACTCAGGCTCAGCGGCTGTGGCTCATGGGTCCAGCTGCTCCGCGCCATGGGGGATCCTCCCGGACCGGGACACGAACCCGTGTCCCCTGCATCGGCAGGCGGCCTCTCAACCACTGCGCCACCAGGGAAGCCCTGAGTTATGCTTTTATAACTCAATTCCTGCTTATTTCTGGTGAGGTGATCAAACCAACTCTCCTGCTAGTTCTTACTCACAACTCAACCTTCTCTGCTGGCCACCTCACCTCCTACCATCTTCTCTTTCTGACCAGATCCCATCTTTTCCTCTTTCAAATACCTATGGAAATACACAATGACTAGCCTATACTCAGTACTAAATAGAGGATAGCCAGCAGGTTAGTTAACCAGACAGGACATTTCATTTAGCAAGTGAGTAAACATTCCATGGTTAGGAAATCTGTGGCTCACATGTAGCTCTCTTTACGTGCCTGACAAAGGACACATACATACAGAGAGAGCCACTAAGATGTTCATTTACAAGGTATCTAAAACCATCCGTGTAGGTCAGATTCTGAACTGCAGAATTCTGAAAGCTCACAGCAAGGTGTTCTCATGAGGAAGTGGGTACCAAGCACCCGAGAATCTCACTTTTACACTGAAGTCCTTGTCGCATTATCCCCCAGAGCAGGGAGCCACAGTGATCACAGAACGTTGGCACCTTGTAGTTGTGGACGCTGAACTTGTGTGGGATGTTGATTCCGAACCTCTGCTCAGCAATCTGTAGCAAGGAAACAGGAGGACGAGAGGTGAAATTCCATACCCACACCTTTTGTGAGAACTGTAACAGGAGCCCACCAAATGCAAAGTGTTACTATGACACCTGAGATGAGTATACTATTACTGCTCAGCCACGATGAATTACCCAGGCCTTACCACGCAGACGAAGCACATTTTCTCGTGAACAAGACTGGCTGGACAGAAATGTGTGGTGTACATTAAACTGTCCACCATCTTGGGAGATTAATAGAAATTTAAATATTCATTTCACCTTTTACATTCACTTGACCGTGTTTCTCTCCTGGCCAATTCCTCACACCCATGTCTATTTCTAGAACCTTTTAACTTCAGGATTCAACACGTTTTTATAGGCAACATACACTTGCTGTCACCACAAGTTCTTCCAGAAATTGCATCATGAGGATGGGGTGACACCCAGAGGACAGGGAACCACAGAAGGAATTTATTCCAAAGTGACATTCAACTGGTGATCTTATTCAGCCCTTCCAGCCTCTGCCTGTCTTTGTATTTTGATATCAGAGTGCAAAGATTCTGCTTTTATCTCACAGACGATCACTTCTCAGGATCAGGTGAAATCTCACATACTGTTTCCAGCAAACAGTTAAATCAGGCATATGCTCTATAGTCTATATCACAGTTTGCAGCAATAACAACAGAGCCACACATAACAAGTAGTGGGGCAATATTACTCCTCTTGAAACGTTTCTGGCCTCTTTCTCATAAAACAAAGTATACATGCCTCTGTGTGTACTCTATAGCAATCCTGGGTGTATACTGTAAAGAACCATCAAGTTCCAGAGTCGGACTCTTCAGTGCATCTGTAAATCCACTGCTAACTGTTGGTAATACTCCAACTGCCTTTCTACCTCCAGAATTTAGAATATACGCCCACCTCAGCTGGATGCAATGCTAATGGCAAGAGTGATGTTCAAGCCTTTATGTATAGATATAGATCCTCCCTGAAATTCCTCGAGAGGCTGGAGGGGGCCAAAGGTCACTTTATTTAGGAAGTGCAATTTACAGTTAACAACATACTTACCATATCAATTCTATCTTGTAGTATTGATACTATTCTAGGTCTGAGGCTGAGAGAGAAGCTAGCTAGCAGAGGCTGGATTCTATATTCAAATCCCAGTCATCTGATGCCAAACTCAGGGAAATCTCTCTTCAAATTAGTAGAACTGATCCCTAGAGCTTTTACCCAGCTGATCACTAATGGAGTCATTTTCTAGGACAGGTCAAGCTATGCAAGTATAGAAATACAAATGCCATAATATAAAAAGGAGAGAAATTTCAATTCTGATACCACCATTGGCTTCAAGGAGTGTGGAAGGGAATTGGGAATGAAAGGGAGGAAGGAAAAGACAGAGGGAAGAAGGGAGAAAGAGAGAGAAAGAGAGACAGAGGCAGAGAGAGGGGGAGAGAGAGCGAGCAAGAGAGACAGGGAGCGAGAGAGCGAGAGAGCGAGAATGTGCTCGCATGAGCTCATGCAGGCACTTAATCAGCAAATTGCTATCTTACCTTTGAATCCACTTTGTTAATATTGTTTTGGCAGGTGCAGGCTGTAACAATTAGATGATGGCAGCGCTTGTGGACGACACAGGTGCACACTAGGAAATTAAATCCAGTGATTATACATTTATTGGAGGCACCAGGCCATTGTGGCTTGATTTAGATGGTGGGCCCACATGATGGCAGCCAATGCTCCCGTTCTTCCTATATTCCTTACCACCACCCTAACCCAGGCCTTTGCTCACGCTTGAACTATTCATACTCAGGTCCGGAACTAATGTCATCCTTCCTGGCTTTACTCCTTCCTGCCCCAACCTCCAGAGGAATCATCTCACAGTATATGATTCTGGTCACCTCGGGCCCATAATCTAAAACATTCAATCATGTCTCACAGTCAGTTAAACTAGAGTTGAAATTTCCCAGAGGGGTTTCAGGCTCTCCCAAGCCCACCCCAGGCTCACCTGTCACCTTTCTTCTCTGGGGGCTCTTTGTTCCACTAATAACTAGACTAGGTGCTCTTCCTGGAGCAAGTCTTCACCCTCCCCAACACACTGTCCATGTTCCTCTCAATCCCTGGGGTATCTTCCTTTCCTATCACTTCACTAAACCTTAAATGTATAACAAGACACAACTTTAAAAAATGTCTCTTTTATGAAAATATACTCCCCATGGCTCCCCTTCTAGACTGAAACTTTCTCCCTCCTCTAGTCTCCTACAACCTCTAGCTGGCCTCCCTCATTTCAGATATTCCACATACAGCCTCTAATGTCCTCAGGATTCCCAGCCAGCATGATGACTTGAACAAAGTGGGCATTCATTAAGTATTTGCAGAATGACCCAATCAATTGCTTGAATAGTTAGAACTTTCTAAATAACATTTTTTTAATTTTCATTCAGACAACTGACAGAGTGCAGAGTCCAGTTTCCATTAAAGGATGAACATGTGCAATGAAGCAATATGAAAATACACATCATTTTTAAGATCTTTCAAGACAGATGGAAGTTTCTAGGATTAAATACATAAAGACAGATGACATGTCAGCAAGTAGCACTATAATCTAAAACAAATCTAGCTGTCATCAGATTGAATTCTCAGGAGAACCAAGTTGAAAGTGCCCAGAGAACTGGTCTTTTTATATGAGGGAATCCTTCACACAGAAAAATCTTATATTCCAAGGCATTTGTTTTTTTCACAGTCAGCTTGGCTACAGGTTTATCAATTTCATTGATCTTTTTGGAGAATTATTGATAGCTTTTGGTTTTGTGGATTTTTAAAATTGTTTTCCTAATTTCAGTTTCACTGTTTTGCACTCTATTGTTGTTATTTATTTTCTGCTGCTCAGTTTAGGCTTAAATTTCTCTCCTTTTTAAGGTGGAAACTTAGATTATTGATTTTAGACCTTTATTCTTTTCTAATATATGCATTTAATACTCTAAATTCTCCTCTGAGCACTGCTTTCACTGCCTCCCACAAATTTTGATAAAGTGTATTTTCATTTGATTTAAAATATTTTTTATTTCCTCTTGAGTCTTCTTTGACCCATGTGCTATTTAGAATATGTAGCTTAATCTTCAAATATTTGGAGGTGTTTGAGCTATCTTTTGGTTATTGATTTCTAGTTTAATTCCACTGTGGTCTGAGAAGGTACTTTTTATGATTCCTATTCTTTTATATTTGTTATGGTTTGTTTCAATGTCCCAGAATGTGGTCTATGTTGGTAAACGTTCCTAGTAAGCTTAAGAATGTGTGTTCTGCTGCTCTTAGATGGAGAATTCTATAAATGTCAATTTGATCAAGTTGTGATAGTGCTGTTTAGGTCAACTATATTCTTACTGATTTTCTGCCTGCTGGATCAGGCAGAAAACTGCTGAGCAATCAGAATCAGAAACCGCTGAGATAGTAAATAAAATTAAATCCAACTATAATAGTGGATTTGTTTATATCTCCTTGCAGTTCTATCAGTTTTTGCCTTAAGTATTTTGATGCCCTGTTATTAGGCACATACACGTTAAAGATTTTTATGTCTTCTTGGGAAACTGACTCCTTTTATCATTCCATAATGCCCTTCCTTATCCTTTATAACTTTCCTTGTTCTGAAGTCTGCTTTAACCTGTTTGCTTTTTTTTTTTTAGCATGATTGGTATATCCTTCCAACTAGGCATGTGGTTTTATATCCCTTTGCAAGATGTGAACAAATTAGTGTCCTCATGTCTCCTGACCAGTGTTCTTTCCTGGTCCTTTAACAGGTGGCCCACTGAAAATCAGCTCTTCAAATATCCTGGCACTACGGGCCATGGTAGAAGAAATAAACTAAAAACACAACAGATATGTCACAAATCATGTATTTTTAAACTCAAAAATGTATTCTTGTTTACCAAGAGGTTCTCAAGCTATCTTTGTATGCATGAGATGGTCAGAGCATACCCCTGTGCTGGAGAGGTCCAAGCCAAAAAGTGACATTGATTCTGACCTGTGAACTACGCTCTCAATTGGGGCTGAAATTAATAGCAGAAGGTCAATTATTGTTGTCATATCAATTCAGTTTTTCCTAAATTTGAGAACTCAGTAGAATTGTTCGTACATATTAAAGTCAAAATTACATCCAAATGTATGTCTTATTCCATTCTTCTTAGGGAAATAATATTTTACTTCCCCTCCTTCAGAAGAGAAGGTGGGATTTCTTTATTTACCTAGTTTACCACAGGTTACCACTCTAGGATAGGTAGTACTATTTTACCAATGATCTGTAGGGTGTAAATTAAGATAATAGGTACCATATGGATAAACCATGAGATGACACTCAAGTTAACGATGAGGGAGGCCCAAATAAAAGAAAAGTCCAATCCAGCCTGGCTAAACCTCCAGATTAAGGAGTCTTCTTTTACTCTTTCCTTTTTTATTTCATTCCAATTCTTCTGGAACACTAATTGAGGTTATCTCAGAATTGTGAAAATCAAAATAAATTGAATGGATAATAACTTACAAGACCATTAACAGCCTAACTCTGAACATTCTCACATTTAACTAAATTCAGAAAATCAAAAAGGCAACTTGGATAATAGCTTCTATTTCCAATTCAGGTAAAGAGAAATCAGCATTGTGCTACTTCTCACTCCTATGGACAAGGGGACTGTAAAACACCAAATATTATCTTCAAGACTCAAGGGTCCTGCTCACAAAATCGCATTACCTTTTAGTATGTTCATGATCCTGCAGAGACAAAACTTGAAACAACTACACTTATATAGGTATCCCGGATTCAGGAATAAAAACATCCCCTCTACTTTGTCTACAAAAAGACATGGCTAAAATTTAAACAAAACTAAAGGGTTGTAACTCTATGGGGGTCTCATTTGACCTACAGAGAGTTATTTATCAAAATATTAATGGAATGTATCCTGTTTCCTCTTGGTATAATCAGTTTTTAACACAGGAACAAGATTAAACATAGTTTTAAAATGTTTTCTTACCTTGGCATTGATAACCCTGTTTCCCAAATACACCCCTGTTCAAGACAATAGAGAAAAAAGAAACCATTAGTCAAATATTTCAGCCAACAATGTTCCTATAACTACAGTACTTAAGGAAAACAAATTTCATCCTCTGGTCCTTTATAAAAAACACAATTTCAGAGAAGCAGCAGAAATAATGTCCTTTTTGAGCCCTTTTTTGTTACCACAACACAAGGAGGAAATTGATGAGTTAGAATGCTCCGAATCACAAACAGGTGATGAGAATTTGGCAATTCTCATTCTACCCATCGCTGTGGCAATCCCCCAAGTCCTCAGTGAAAATAAACCCTCCTCTGTGTGTATGACTGAGCCTTTTCCTGAAGTGTCACTTTACTGCCTTATTGATCATTCTCTCTCACATACACATAAAGACATGCAGAGGGTGAAGTAAACAGATGCAGATATACATATGGATGTAAACAGGTGAGTCCACTCCAGCTGCCTGACCTGAGGCATCTTCCATCTTCCCTGTGCCCACATCACCCAGAGTCCACTGGGGAGCAGAAGTGTGGTCACAATATGCCCATCATGCCCACAGCTTCCATCTCTGTCTCTCCCTAATACAGTCTCTGGGTGATGGTGATATGATTCTCATTCGTATTAACAAAGACCACATTTTACTAAGCCAGTAGGCTATGCCAGGCAATGAGCCAAGCAGCTGACGTGTACCATCTCATTTAATCCTCATAAAAGCAGCGTGAGGTAGCACATATAATAGGATAGCCTAGAGCACAGATCCTGAAGCTGGATGGCCTGGATGTGATTTGGGGCAAGTTGTTAACTACTTTGAGCCACTGTTTCTTAATATATATATAGAAAGTTATAATAATAACAGTACCTACTTTTATAAGGTTATCATGAAGATAAAAAGTGTTGATAATGTAAAATACTTAGAACAGTGCCTGGCACTCTAAGTGCATATAAAAGTTTATTATGTAAATAAAATTATTGTCTCTGTTTTGCAAATGAGGAGACATTGCTGGATTATATAGATTGTCTAGGTTCACACATCTAGTTGGTGATGAGATTGAATGCCAGAGTCCATGTGCTTAATCATATGTGTGTGTGTGTGTGTGTGTGTGTGTATAAAACACATAACCACTATTTTAAGTGTGTGTGCATGTGTGTGTGTGCATGTGTGTACGTGTGTGTGTGTGTGTTTCACAAGGCCAGTTAGGTGGGAGTTAAAATTTCCTTGGTAGAAAAACATTTGGTGAAATTATCAAGTAAGTTTCCATTAAGAACGTTAGTTGAGATCACAGGTTGTCACCACAAATGCCTACAGGGGCAGGCAGGTCACGTAAAGGAGGGAAGCCAAATGGTGTGACATGAAATAAAACAGCAACAGACATTTACCCTTCTGGTCAGGCAAATCCAGGGAGAGGTGGGTCTAACTGGAGCATGCAAAGAAGAAAAATGGGCTCAAAGTTGCCAGAGATGCTAATTTTTTCATTAAAAAATGGAATAGGAACCTCTTCCTAAAGACTACAGTTTTAGGCTTCATACATATCAACAGCCAGTTTAGGGACTTTGGTTTAGACAAGACTCTATACTTTTTCTTTCTTTTATATTTTATTTATTTTTTTATTGTGTACAAATTTAATGTCATATTTCTTTTTAAAATTTATTTTATTGAAGTATAGTTGATTTACAATGTTGTGTTAGTTTCTGGTGCATAGCAAAGTGATTCATTTTATATATATATACACATATATATGTATATATATATGTTCTTTTTCAGATTCTTTTCCATTATACGTTATTACAAGATATTGAATATAGTTGCCTGTGTTATACAGTAGGTCCTTGTTGTTCATCTGTTTTATATATAGTAGTATGTATCTGTTAATCCCAAACCTCTAATTTATCCCTGCCCCCTCCTTCTGCCTTTGGTAAGAATAAATTTGTTTTCTATGTCTGTGAGTCTATTTCTGTTTTGTAAATAAGTTCCTTTGTATCATTTTTTTAGATTCCACATGGTATCATATGATATTTGTGAGGGGATGGAAAAAGGTATTCCACGCAAATGGAAATCAAAAGAAAGCTGGAGGGCTTCCCTGGTGGCGCAGTGCTTGAGAGTCCGCCTGCCGATGCAGGAGACGCGGGTTCGTGCCCCCTTTCGGGAAGATCCCGCGTGCCGCGGAGCGGCTGGGCCCGTGAGCCATGGCCGCTGAGCCTGCGCGTCCGGAGCCTGTGCTCCGCAAATGGGAGAGGCCACAACAGTGAGAGGCCCGCATAACGCAAGAAAAAAAAAAAAAAAAAAAAAAAAAAAAAAAGAAAGCTGGAGCAGCAATACTTGTATCAGATAAAATAGACTTTAAAATAAACACTGCTTCAAGAGACAAAGAAGGACACTACATAATGATCAAGGATCAATCCAAGAAGATATAACAATTGTAAATATATATGCACCCAACATAGGAGCACCTTAATACGTAAGGCAAATATTAACAGATGTAAAAGGAGATATCAACAGTAACACAATAAGAGTAGGGGACTTTAACACCCCACTTACATCAATGGACAGGTCATCCAGACAGAAAATCAATAAGGAAACACAGGCCTTACATGACACATTAGACCAAATGATATTTATTGATATTTATAGAGCATTTCACCCAAAAAGCAGCAGAATACACATTCTTTTCAAGTGCACATGGAACATTCTTGATAGCTCACATGCTAGGCCACAAAAAAAGCCTCAGTAAATTTAAGAAAAGTGAAATATCAACCATATATTCCAACCACAGCACTATGAAAGTAGAAGTCAGCTATAAGAAAAAAAACTGCAAAAAACACAAACAGATGGAGGCTAAACAGTATGCTACTAAACAACTGATGGATCACTGAAGAGATCAAAGAGGAAATAAAAAATACCTAGAGACAAATGAAAATGAAAACGTGACAATCCAAAACCTATGGGACATGGGACTTCGCTGGTGGCACAGTGGTTGAGAATCCGCTTGCCAGTGCAGGGGACACAGGTTCGATCTCTGCCAGGAAGACCCCACATGCCATGGAGCAGCTAAGCCCATGCGCCACAACTACTGAGCCTGCGCTCTAGAGCCCGCGAGCCACAACTACTGAGCCCAAGCCACAACTACTGAAGCCTGCGTGCCTAGAGCCCATGCTCCACAACAAGAGAAGCCACCACAATGAGAAGCCCGCGCACTGCAATGAAGAGTAGCCCCTGCTCACCGCAACTAAAAGAAAGCCCGTGCACAGCAACGAAGACCCAACACAGCCAAAAATAAATAAATATTAAAAAAAAAAACACAACACCTATGGGACACAGCCAAAGCAGTTCTAAGAAGGAAGTTTATAGTGATACAAGCTTACCTCAGGAAACAAGAAAAATCTCAATAAACAACCTAAACTTACACCTAAAACAACTAGAGAAAGAAGAACATACAAAACCCCAAGTTAGTAGAAGGAAGGAAATCATAAAGATCAGAACAGAAATAAGTGAAATAGAGACTAAAAAAGCAATAGAAAAGATAAATGAAACTAAAATCTGGTTCTTCAAAAAGATAAAAAAATGTTGATAAACCTTTAGCCAGACTCATCCAGGAAAAATAGAGAGAGGGCCCAAATCAATAAAATCAGAAATGAAAAACGAGAAGTTACCACAGACACCACAGAAATACAAAGGATCATTAAGAGATTACTACGAGCAACTATAATGCCAATAAAACGGACAACCTAGAAGAAATGGACAAATTCTTAGAAAGGTACAGTCTCCCAAGATGGAACCAGGAAGAAACAGAAAATATGAACAGACCAATTACCGGTACTGAAATTGAATCAGTAATTTAAAAGCTCTCAACAAACAAAAGTTCAGGATCAGATGGCTTCACAGGTGAATTCTACCAAACATTTAGACAAGAGTTAACACCTACCCTTCTGAAACTATTCCAAAAAATTGCAGAGGAAGGAAGACTTCCAAATTCATTCTGTGAGGCCACCATCACCCTGATACCAAAACTAGACAAAGATATCACAAAAAAAAGAAAATTACAGGCCAATATCACATAGATGCAAAAATCCTCAATAAAATACTAGCAAACAGATTCCAATAGTGCTTTAAAAGGATCATAGACAAGACCATATTCTTGATTAAAAAGGCCAGAAACACAAACTAAGCCTGCATTCTGACTGCTAAAAGGTATAAAATCCAAAGTAATCACAAAACCCCCCACAAAACACAAAGTAATTGAATAATACTCAGAAATGAATCTGAATTAAGTGTTTCTGCCTTAAACAAAATGACTAAAGTTTGCAACAAAAACAAAGATCTCCTTTTATGCTGCAGATATGAGAGTGTGTTTCCTCCTCCTGAGAAGGGTGTGTATGTGTATGTTTTGTGCATGTGAGGGTATTTCTTCCTTCTCTCTGCAAATAAATATGTTTAATGTTGCCTCTAATTGAAGATAACTATTACTTAAATTTATTTTACATTATAGATTTGCCACTTGAGTAACATGTATAGTAAGAAATTGCCCCAAATCATCTATAATTTCTCAACTATTAATTATCTTGATTCTTAAATGCCAGGGATTATACTATGTGATCACTGAAAGCTATTACCTTTGTCTACGTACTATAAGGCTGAAGACTACTGTATGTTTAGTTTGCTTGCAACAATTAATTCCAAAGTCATCATGTGATTCATGCTTTCTTAGAGAAATACTGTTGATATTTCTTTCCTCCTTAGGGATAGATCATTTATTAACTGATTAGCCTCTCTCTCTAATTAGTGCTTTTTAACCAGTTCATGATTCATCAGCACTTTTACCAACATGATTGGCAAAAGAAATAACATATAAAACTTAATCTGTAAATTGTGTAATTTTTTTGTTGGGGATTAAAATTTCTAGGTCAACATATTAGAGTAAGAGGAAAAAAATCAGATTCTAAAACAATTCTTAATAATCATGCTTTCTCCTGAAATCACAACAACCAGAGGAAGTCTCAGCTCTTGGGAGGAGAGAAGCCAGGGAACCCCTTACCAGATAAACTCTCTGCAGTGAGAGCAGTAGGTGGGCTGCCTCAGGTATGTGGCCATGAACTTATGTCCGTTGATCTGGTGGACTCGCCTTCTCATAGCCCTTTGGCGCTTCCTGGTAAAATGTTTGAAGATTCGGTCTCTCTGGAGAGTAGCTATATATTAAAAGAAGGGAAAAAAAGAATAATGTGTAATGAACCTACCTGCACCTAATGTATGAGAAAGTTTGGTAGTTCAAATACTTCCCAAATTACTTTTTTCTTTCTTCAAGATATAAAACACCCCAGAAAATCATCATGCTTTGTTAGACATATGTGAACCCTGGGATTCCCAATTGCCTAGTTATAATTGGTTATCTTGGGCCAGTCTCCCCCGGAACAGAGCGTGGGTTCTCCAGAGTTCCGATGCACCAGTATGTGACAGCAGGATGGTCTCGCAGTCCCCGTCCAGCTGTCTGGGACCTCAGGTTCACCGACTGGCTGCAGTGACCGGCTGGCAAACAGGGCTCCTCATTACTCCCCTTTCATTCTGCTGTCCTCACAAACTTAGTAAGGGAACTGCCCCCAACACAGTGAGAGCCCTGCCCAAAAGCATCAGTTCCAGCACCACCTCTGTTAACTTGGAAGAGGTAGAAATTAATTGGGAATACACTCAGAGTTCCCTTTCTAATTTCGTATTTTAAAAGTAGTGGCTCCTAATCTGAAGACTCTAAAAACTGTGCACCATTTAAAGATCATAAATGATATCTTCCACCTAACTGTTCTAGAAGTTTTCCAATGTATGCAGAGACTTGTGATTATAAAATAAAGATTCCTTCTTCAATAATGCTTTAAAATGAATCACTGCTCCAAAGGAAACTAAAGGAATCATGCAAGAATAATCTGCTAATAAATTTTAAAACCTGGAAGAAATAGAAGATTTCCATGTAAATACATGGTCAAAATTAGTCACATAAACCAAAAAGTCTAAGTTTTTAGAAGGAATTGATAAAGTTTTTAAAGGACTACCTCTAATTCTGAAGGATTCATTTTATGTAGACTTTTCCCAGTAGCAATATACTCAAATAACCAGAAACTTCTATACTATCCAGAATTATCTTAAAAAGAAAAACTCACTATGACCAAGTGGGAATTTTCTCAGGAGCATAACAATGGGCATATTATTACAAAGTCTATTATAGCTTATTCTATTAATAGGTGAAAGAATAAGGATGACAGTTTCAATAGATGTTGAAAAGGCACTTGATAAAATTTAACTTGTAATCCAATAAAAAATTCTTTCGAAAAGACTAAAAGATTGTCTCTTTAACATGACTAACACACATTTTCACAGGTCAGAAGCATCAAACTGAATGGTAAATGTTAACCAAATTCCTGTGACAGTTAAGAACGAATAAGACTAATTATCACCACTATTATTTAATATTATTCTGAAAGTACTCGCCAAAGTTGTTAGAAATGAAACAAATGATCAAACTATTAGGAAAAGGTGGCAAAGATACCATTACTTGAAGTTGTTTAATGTATGACCAGAAAACTCAGGAGGATTCAGCCTAATCTATTAAAAAAATGAGTTTGGTGTGATGGACAATAATAAATCATTAAAAGTCAAGGTATTTAGTATATCAAAAGAGCAAATTAGAATAAGTTAAAAAATCCCATTCATACAACCAAAAAAACCAAATTATCTAGGAAATAATTTATCAGAAGGTCAAGATTTATATGAAAAAAAGACTATAAAACCAACTGAAGGGTATGAAAAGATAAGTAAAAATGAAGTTCTTAAATTGGAACACTCAATACTACAAAGCTGTCAATTCTACCTAAACTAATGTCTAAATTCAACAAAATTTCAATCAACATTCCCAAAGGATGTTTCTAAACTTGACACTTTTTTTCAAGGTTTATTTGGTACTATAAATATTTTAAAACTGTCCCAAAATTTCAATGAGGGAGGACCTGCTCTACATGCTAAAACATATTATAAAATTACGATAATTTAAACAGTGCTCTACCCCCTCAAGAAAAGTCCAAAACTAGAAATCAATTTGGCTGAAAGAGAATATGGTTCAAATCAGTGGGAAAAGATGGATTATTCAATAAGTGGTGTTTCGACAACTAGGTAGCCTTTTGGAAAATATTTTTACCTCACTCCTTACACCCAAATAATCTCAGATAAATGTTGGGGTGGAAATTACAGAAACAAAGAAAACATGGGAAAGAAATACACTCCTAGGAATGGGATGAGGATAACAAATTTCTACAGCCATAAAAGATCCACAGATTCGCAATCTATGAAATTTAAAATACTACTTGTCAACAGACACAAAACAAAGTTAAAACAAACTGGGGAGAAAAGGATTTGCAACATGTGACAAAGTGTTACTATTTATAATATGTCTAAATCATTAAGAAAAGAGGATAAACAATCTAGTAAAAAGGGGGCAGAGGAAGTGAACAGGCAATTCATAAAATTATAAATGCAAACAGACAATAAACATGCCAAGATGTCCAATCCTATCCAAGACAGACATGTAAGAACTGCAAGGTAAATGACATTTTACCTCTTAAGTTGGCAAATACTTATAAAGGTAGTTAACATGCCCACTCTTACTACAGTGTAGGGA